GGAAAAACAATCAAAGGAAATTGACATTCAGAAACACAGATTACTAATATTCAGAACAAGAACTATTTCTTCTCTCCTAATTTCATCTGAGATAGAAAGCTACCTATGTTATTTATCTTTATGTCAGGTGGGGGAAAAAGAAAGAAAAAACCCAACTCTGACATCAGCAGTGGTAGAGTTAATTTCTATACTACTCCAGTCAGTTGTAAAAAACCTCATTCTTTATGGACTGATCTCAGTAGAAGTGTTTAAGTGATGACATCCCTGGGACAGTAGCTTTTTAAACACCAGTGATGTTGGGCGATGACCTTCCAATGGCTCTTCCTGTGAAGAGAGGCAGTGCTTTAAGGCAGACATGTTGCATGCCCTTAATCCTGTGCATTTTCATCTTTCTGACATGCTTAACAAATTTTGCAGTCAGAGGAATTATGGCATCTCCAAAACATCACACACTATCATGCATCCCAAGCTTTTTCCTATTTAAAGCTTTTGTTTTTCAGCAAAACACCTCCATTTAGAAAATCACTTGTGTGAATCACCAAGCCCTGAGGACTTTGTTCAGAAGACTTCGTGATTCAATACTTACTAGGAGCAGCAGATCCTGGAGTACAGCCCTCAGAGAGATTCAAAACACCATCTAATCCATCTCCTTGCCTCCAAGCCTAATTCCATGAAGATTTGGAAGGAATATATTCTTTACAACACACTTTAAAGATGATGTCATCCATGATGGCAACCTCACAACCTCCCTAGGCAGCCTATCCTAGCCTTTTGTTATCTTTACTATCAGAAACTGTTTACCAATTTATAGTTGTTGTTATTATTGGCCTGCATAAATGTAGCATTTATTTGTGATATTACACGTTATGCCTGTTCAGGAAACATACAACACTGACTAGAGCAATCAAATCAGAAAATTATGCCAACTCTATCAATTTTCATCCCAGAGGTGAGAAAGCAAACCTTGTATTTCCCAAGACATGACTGACCTACATGAAAGGGGCTCTGAAGTGGGGACCTTGGTCTCCTGTGATTTTTCTGGGTCAGATGACAAAAATAATGAGTCTTAAAAGAAAATGAGCTGGTTCTTGCTGAACCCAAGCAAGAGCTAAAGGATCCCAGTCAGGAGAACTAGTAGTTCCTAGTCATGTGAGGCTTCACCTTCTCCACTGGAACACGGACTAAAATCAAAACAAGGAAAAAAAAGAGGAAAATAAATGGCTAAAAGTTTAAAAGCCAAACCTGAAACCACTGCACAAGGCATAAAGTGTAGCTCAGCACACATTTTACTGTCTTCACAAGCAAGCTCAACACACATTTTATCATCTTCACAAGCTCATCTTCAAACATATGAGTATGCAGGTGGTTGGTGTAACTAGAAATTATGTCATTCAAATAAAAAGAGGATGAAAAGAATCAAGGGACAAAATTGGACTATAGCTTCCCCAACAATTCTCCTGAGTGGGATTTTCAGTCATGATGAAGTGAAAGGTAGGTATAAGAAATCATGACAAAGCTTTTATTGTCTGATTAGTCTTAGAAAGTTGAGATGAGACTACTAGCTAAGAAGAGGTAAAGCTTTTCTGGAGCTACAGGTTACTACATCTGTAGGGGATGTTGAAGGACTATAGTAGTTTTGGAAAACCTGAACCTCTTTTATTCTTAATACAAACTTTTACCACTAATAAAAATCACAGGAAAGTCCTTTTCTCTTAACTCCATCCATACTTTTTAAATAAGAAAGAGATTAGTATACAACACACCAAACCCTTCCAAAAGGATAAGCAGAATGAAGGTGTCTATTTTCATCACTGAACACATAAGCTTTTAAAAATAACATGCTGAAATGGGCCAAGTGGAGAAGAACTTTACCCCTCCATCCTTACACATAGGTCCCATAGTGATGTCTGCTTTTATGGCACTGCAGACTTGCACAGGAAGCCAAGGTTAAATAGTTTAAAGTTGAATAGTTTGGCTCCCCTTGGAGCTAGCACTTGTGACCTTTATAACACTGTGCAAACCAGAAGCTGACAAATATTTGTTTCTAAGAGAAGCCCAAAAATTAAAAGCAAAAAGATTTATTGACTGCAGTGATTGACAAAAGTGTCCTTGCAGGAGGGCAGTTTCCAGCACTTTCTGAGTGCTTCTAAACTGTACACAGCACTGTCCTGAATCAGGCTGGACAGTTTGGTGTTACCTTGATAACAGAACCACTGCATTTTATTAAGCAGGAAGGACATTGCAGTGAGGAGCAAGGGCCTTTAGGATTGTTTATCTGCCTAAAGGGACCCTGGCCTCTAACTGCTCTTCCTAACTTTGAAAGTGCCCTGAACACTTTTGCTTCTGATGTCTTAGCTAAGCCTATTTATTCTCTTGTTTGTCTTTTCAAAATATGGAAAACCACAAATGGCCTACAGGAACTGAAGTTTTTTGCAGTACTTCTTTTCTGGAGGTTGTGGTAGTGTATTGCAGTTTCAGAAACTGTAGAAATGCATATTTTCTCCATTAATTCTCTTCTGAAAATAAGAGGAAAATCGGGAGAACACCCTACCTGCCTAGCTGAAAAAAACCAACACCAAACCCTACCTTTCTATCATTTTACTAAACATTTGCAGAAGGTGAGGCAGTGGGAAATAATCCTGCTTCTGAAGTAACCCAGGTGAAATCAGCAGTAGTGACAGTGTGGGCAGCCATGTAACACTGATGTCTGAAGACTGTGCTCCTTTAAAGCACCAGTGAAAGCTGCAGAATGGGAGCATCCTAGCAGAGACATTTGCTGCCCTTCCTCATCCTTGCTCAGCTTGCTCACCCCATGGAGACCACTGACATAATATATATACATCAAGAATTAACATATTAAAAATAATGCGCTGTACGTAGAAACTCACCAGACTTTCCTCTATAGCAGATAAGAGGCTCAGTTGTAAAGGGTCTGATCTTTAAAATGACCTTTATTCCAACAGGAAAATTGGGAGTTGAATATACCCTGCTTTTAGGTGAGAAAGTTGTTATATAAGGCTGAAAAATTAAAGTAAGACAGCCCCCCACAAGCTTCTCTATGCTAAGAAATTTGCATTTCTGTGTCTTCCAGAGTTAATGGCAAAATTCCTATTGGCTTCAAAAGAATCAAAACCAGCCTTTATTTCCATATAACTCTGTAAACTTTGAACTGAAAAATATTCATTAGATCACAAAGCTCATGTGAAGAAAATTGCAAAATATACCTCCCTGCAGAAGATCTATCAGACTTCTAACAGCTATTTTATATTGTCAAGGGCAAATAAACCCGCTTGGGGAAAAACAGACAGGTGATTTGTATGGTGATTGCTTTAATGTTCTTTTTATAATTTCAACTTACAGCCTCTTATCCATAGTCAGGAGTAGCAGAAATATCAGGGTGTGCAGTTTGTTTGCACAGGCTTCTTTTTATTTTACACATACAGCTGGTGTGTGTCAGGAGTGGATATGGCTACTTCAGTATATCTCCTGAACCTGAGTATTTTCTTTCCAGGCAGTGTAATCTTCCAGCCCCAGAAATGATGCTAGGATGCTGATGTCAGGAAGCATGTGAGAATTTACTTAATACAGTCTATCTTTTTAAAAGCTTTGGCTTAGCTGGTGTAATGGAAGTGCTATACTAGCAGTACACAGTGTCTCCCTGTTTAGTGATAGGCTGGAAGTGTGCCTTGGGTCTACTTTGTGAAGCTAATATTTTGACTTTAATTTATTTTAATTTTTAAAAATTTTTTTTATTTTTTTTTTAACCAGGGCCATAGGCACATTCATATGTTACTGTGAGCTAAAGGTATAGGCAGAGTGATTATCTGAGGCTCTACAAATATAAACCTACTTACCTTTAAAAATCTGATTTTCTCTGATCAGAGTTGTTATTTTCACAGTGCAAATTAAGGAAATTTTCTTTGTAGTTACTTGCTTGTTGGATCATATTTCAGAAAAGAGGAAGACTAGAACAGGCTGAAAGGTAGGGAAGCGATGGTTGCACACTGTCAAGATTGTCAACTTGGTCTAAACTACTGTATTGCGGTCATTGCATGACCTCCAGAAAATATTAATAATGTAATTACTTGCAATTTCAAAGAATTCAAAGCATAAACATTTATTTTTAATCTCCTACCCCTTTCAATGGTAAGATATCAAATTTACACCATTGCAACCACATCTCTCATTTACTTCAGCTCTTGTTAGCATCCTCCCCTTTCACATGACTGCTGCTGGGATCAGAGGAGGTTCCCTGACATCAGCACTGCTTCCATGAGTGGAGAAGGAGGATGCAGCTGTACTCGTTTTGTGTTTGTGAGGACTCAGGGTTTTCTGGAAGAAGCATGGCATCCCGCTGAGGCACATTTCCCTCCCTCACCCCCAAAGCCACTGTCCCTTTACTGCAGGAGGAGTTCTGCCAGTCCTCCTGAATGGGCATTTCTAGCTGACCTGCATTACTCAGGAGGGTGTGTGCTTGCCCCAGCTGCATTGCTTGGCACCTTGGAAAGGCTGGAGTGAGGCATCCAAGGGCTGCTGACTTGTGATGAGAGACAAGTCCCACAGTTCTGCTGAGAAATGCCCTAGTGCCCTCGAGGGATAGGCCACCTGTAACACCAATAAGTCTTGCAGTATTGGGAAGATGTTTTGCTCTTAGACATTTCAAACTTCATGTCACCTCCCAAAGGGTTTCACGTTTCAAGTCTGTCTTGTCCTCTTTGCTTGCTTTTTTCTTCACCTGCCTACACTTTCATTTCTTTGGTGTGACAGAAGAGCTAACATAGGGCAATTACTGCTCCTCCTAAGGCAAAATCAAAAGGGCCCCTGAAAACTCTGCTATTATAGCAGGAAAGTGATGCTGCACTGTCATGCCAGGTGCACACTGTTGAGGCTCAGGGCATGGTCACTTCCTTTGAGAGTCACTTCTGTCAATCCTTATCCTAGGCAGATGAGACCAAAATAAACTTGCTAAATACAGAAGTCAGTATCTCTACATTTTTCAAGCTGGTTTGTGCAGGACTTTTTCTGGGCAGGTAAACTTTTGCACGTCTGTGAGGAAGTTAATATTTATATTGTTACTGGAGTAAGAACTCTAAACTAAAAATTAATAAAAATGAGTACGTTAGCTCTTGGAGAGTGCGCTGAGGATAAGAGGTTTGGCTCCCTGATATCCACAGCTTATATGCATACCCAGTTTTCATCCACATCACCAGGGAAAGAGGGGAGATGACTAAACCATAGTTTGCTAAGACTGGCCTGGAGAAGAAAACTGGCATATACATCCAGTTCCTTTAACTACCCTAGAACGTTCTTTCAGGAGTGGAATTTAAAGACTGTATGTAGCGTGCAGGGAGATGTCTCTCTTCCTATTTGGTGAGCAAGGCCACCAGCACCTTCTGCCATATGGTCTGGTTCTGAGATCAGCCTGACAAATGGTTGGTGAGGCTTGCTAGTCACACACCATTCATGAAGTAATTCATGAAGATTAGAATGGTAAATAAAACACATCCCATCAATGTCTTTGACACATTCCAGCATGGTTTTATTCAGTCAGGAGTCATTAAGAAAAAAAAGCCCTCTACAAACCTGGTGGTTTGTCATCCCTCCTTTATCCTTCAGCACATGCCAACACATTCCAGCTGCACTTCACTCAGCTCTAGACCCTGGGTGCTCTCCCACTCTCAAACCTGAGAGCTTGTGAGCAAATGAAAAAGGATCAGCAGGTGCAGGTAGAATCCTTTCAGCCCCAAGGGTAAGCCTGAAAATTACAGATCATGGTGGGACTGGGTCCTGGTTACTAGGTAATGTGCTGCTGCTGCTAACAACAATAACAATCATGATGACATAGTGTACAGACTCTGGGAACACTTTTAGTGATCAGCTGAGTGCAGACATGAGGCTGTTCTTGTCTCGAAGATTAACAGCGCTAACAGCAGCTGATTAGACTGTAACCTTTACTTTGCTAACCAAGTTTATGTCTTAGAGAGCATTTTCTTGAATGTGAATTAGGGAATCCAAGATGATGGTAGAGCTGAATCCTAACCAGCTTATGTGAAAAGCACCTTGATTTCAGGGTGATCTCATCAATCTGCAGCTATATGGTATCCCAATACAGAAAAATTTGTGTTTTCTCCTCTGTGGTCCCAGAGCACCAGTTGTTCCTTACCTCTCTACCCCTATAAAACGAATCCTCATTCTACTTACAAGTAAATGCATTAAAAGACCATGGGGACTCAGTCCCCACTTCCTTACAATTTTCTTAGACATGAGGTGTGTTATATTGTTTTTGTACTGGAAGCATGCATCACCACAGAAAACATGTCAGAGTGGACTAGGTTACCTGTGGTGGGGACAGAGCTGGGAGCTGCTGTGGGTGGGTGTATCCAACTGCAGACAGAAGGGAAAGCCCAGCCCTCCTGCCTTTACTGATCACACAGCCTGAAGCTGCAGCTGTTGCCACTGCATGTACCTGAGCAAATAAAGTTTGGAAACCCAGTTCAACCAGCCCCAAAGTCTTTGGGAGGCAGGAGTGTTGCATGGGGGTCAGAAATTTTGCTTTTATAGCTGGAAGGCTTCCATGCATGCAGAAGTGACCCATGAGCAGACCTGCTTCAGTTAAGTCTTTGCTTAGCAAAGGCAGCAGCCACAAGTTGCTGTGAGTGTCCCTGAGCCAGATGAAGAGTGAAGGCACTCCTGGGCAGGGCTGCAGGTCCTCTCTGCCCCACCAGCAGCACAGGCTGCCCAGCAGGGGAAAGTCAGGGCTTGATGTAGAGCATCTCTGGTGCCAACTGGCCATCACAGGAGCAGGTGATGAAAGCAGCCTTCCATCCTCAGCTGTGAAATGCTGTGAAGTCCATTAGTACATCTGCTCTGAAACGGGCTCATTAAAATACACATTCTCCTTTGTTATCCTGCAGCTGCAGTGCCTGACTCATCCCACTGCAGTTGCTCTGAAATGGGAGCCCAAGTTAAAAACTTTCCCGACTTGCTTTTTTATTCGCCAGGGAAGCTCATGTCTAACCCACTGAGAGGGTAATGGAAGCTGTAACATCTGTCTTCATGGCAGGCAAATGAAAGGAAACCTGAAAAAAAGGAAGAGGGAACAAATGAGGCACTGGTTGATTGAAAGTCTGTTATTTCATGTTGCCTTTCACAATTTGACACAGGATGCTTTCTTACCGCTAACTACTGCTGTAGTTAGTGCTAGAATAACCCAACTGGGACATGGCCACCTCCAAACCAGGTGTGCCAATGGTTTTTCCTCCTTTATTACTCTTTTCCACAGAATCACAGAAAACTGCCACGCAGTCGTGGCTTAGCAGCTGTGGTCTTGCAGCAGGCTTTGGCTGGGATCCCTGCTTTGACTCCTGCTTGCACTAAACCTCTCCTCTCCCCAGGGGCAGACAGAGGCCTACACTCAGACAAAGCTCTTGTTATCAACACTATCCCCAGACACAGACTCTTCTGAGGTGGCCCATACAGTGTGCTGAGGGTTTGAAGACTTATCTGATGGGCTGGGGGAGGCACTGCCTCGTGCTGATTTCCTGCTCCCTCAGCTCACAGCGACATTGTCCTTTGGACACCACTCGATCAGTGTTTAAAGCCACACGCATCTCCAGCCTCTCCCTGCCAAAACGGAAACCTCATGGCCTAAGCCCACCTCATCCAAGCTGCTAACTTTCTCTTTTGCTTTTTAAACAGACATGATTTCACCAGACATTGAGTTTAGCTGCAAGAAAATTCCTCCCTCTTACTGTTTTGTTCTTAAGGACTGCTTTTCTCAGCTAAACATCCTTTGCTTTAAATAGATGGGCTGACCCAAATACTATTCTGAGTGATTATTCAAGGATGAAGAACAGACTCTAGTCCAAAGATTTTTCCAAGACGACTTAAATCAATATGATCTTTGTGATTGGTAGTTTCTAGAAAACCTGTAGGCTACATCATCCCTATTGCATTCATCATTTGTCTGAGTTTTGCTATATTTGTTCATGTGGTACATTACGGAGCATCTGAAGCGTTTATTCTCTTGTCCTCTGGACTCCACTAATTTCTTTTGGAACAAAATGTAGCTTAGAAATCATCTGCTGTGGATTTTTGTAATGAATATTTTACAGTAAGCCACTTGTTACTAATGAGCCTAGTTTTACTTGTACAGCTCCTTTTACAATTTTTACTCTTAAAAAAAATAATTCGGAAATTTACAATGGTAGTTGAATTGTTTATTAACTGATGGCCTACTTGCAATATTAAATTGAACACGTCATTGCAATTTGGGCTATTTTTCAGCTTTGTTTAGGAAAAAAATAACTGCAAACATGGAAGCCAACATTTTCCACAGCACACCTCTGAATACTCTTTTTCATTGCAGACTT